GTCCATCATGATCAGCCCCAGGAACTCCAGGTGGGTAGATCTTAAAGTAAAATCTCCCTGTTCTGAATCCTCTTTATGTTGGTAAATATCATTTTTCCTATGCACATGACTGTCAAATCAAGAAACAACAACATCACAATAAAAAGGAATATGAGATATTGTTCCACAACGGGTAATAACAAAATAATTCTCCCATTATATGCAGTTTTGTCATCACTCCCCGATGTTTTGAGTTTGGGGCTCATGCTCTGGGCCAGTGACTTCATGGTTTTCATTCTGCAAAGCACAAGCAAAAGGTTCAACATATCCATGGACAAAATCTCTCCTCTGATCCCTCCCCTTAAGTCCAGAGACATCCACAGTATCCCTGCCCTGGTGTCTTTGCATCTTCTTGTATCCTCTCCTACCTTGTTCAAGTGTGTGCATCTCCTTTTGATAATCCTGGTGGGTTGCTGGCTGATGTTCTATCCTTAATCAATGCATGCTTCCCAACCATCTGCTCCTTGGTTCTCATGAGCAATAAGTCCAGTGCATCCAGGATGTGTATTGCCTGTGTAAGATTTCAAAATCCACTAAATTCGTCATAAACATGCAAATTGTATACATTTGCATAGTATGGAATTGCTTATACATTCATGCATGCAAATCTATAAACCAAATCCTAAGCTCTTATGTAATAAGTGGTGAACAAGAAGCTTCATTGCTACTAATAAACAAAACATAGTAAGAGCAATTGTAAATGAAACGTGATAATTATGCAAGTGCTTATATCATTGCAATTTTAGTAATTCCTGCAATATTTAGTTTGGACTCTACACAATGAAAACATTTATTTCTTGAAAGAATCTGGAGATTATAGGTGAGTCTTTCAAAGTGTAACTTTTCATCTATCATTTTACATTTATGAGGAAATTAACCAAATATGACATTATTGAAGAATTTACAAGAGAATGTAGTGGGCAAGAGGACCATTCAAGATAGTGAAGAATAAAATGTTCAGGTATAATAATAAGGAAGTTTGAGTGAAGGTGGTGTACAGATCAAGTTTTCATCATTAGAATCATTGGGGCCTAACTTATAAAATATGTACATAACATCCTTAGAGAAGTACAAGCCACTTAAAATCTTGCTATGGAGAGACATTAGCATATTTAATATGTAAGTGGATAGAATGAACTGGAGTAAGATCAAAGTCAGCAAAAAATATGGTTTTGCTAATTTTTTTAAAAACTCAGGTAACGGTAATTTTCCAAATGCATGCTGTCTGGCATTGCATAGGTTTGGGAATTTTTAAATGATAGATTATTTTTTCTTTATGAGAAGATGACAACTGGCCATGTTGGAAAGATTCTGGGGGAATTAGCCCTCTCTTGACTCAAAAGTGAGGAAGGAAGTTTTATTTAAGTTTCCTGGAAGCATCAGAGAACAACTCATTTGGAAGAAAAAGTTATGAAAACAGTCTGTTCTTGTGGTCTTGTGGAGATGGTGGCATCTAAATTCTAAAGAAACAAAATTATTATTCCCAAGTAAAAGGAATATTTTAATATATTATGTATGCATTTACATTAGAAAACTGATGCAAAATATTAATTATTCAATAGTTTAAAATTCTTATTTTGACATATGGACATACATTGACCCTGATAACACAAAAATTAAGGAAATGTTTAGTTTGCATGAGGCACTTAAACATATTTTCCACACATTAGATCCCAATTAAGATGGAAAATGCATGTGTGTTATAGAATTGGTAACATTATGTTTGCTATCCATCAAGCAGTATTAAAAATTTTTACATGAAGATATCTGAAGATAAACTGAGCATGGTGGTCCATAACTATAATCCAAATACTGATGAGATTGAGAAAGGAGGATCAAAACAGTCTGAGTCCTGCCTGAACTACAAAGAAAGATCATGACTCAAAAAAAAGAAGAGGTGTATACCTTATACCAATTACAATAGTAATTGTAAATTGTAATTGTAATTGTAAATAGACAAACTAAAGTCTATTGCATGTTGCTGTCTTGCTATGCTAGCTGCTTAATTAGTTCAAATTAGTCTGTAGTTTCATTATTCCTAATGTTTTAGCTATATCTATCAAAACCATTTTATTAAATATAATCATACAATGTTACTTTAACAAACATGAAAAGTCTACTTATGTTTAATGTAATAATTGATGTAACTGGGGTTCAGTATACCAATGTACTGCATGTCTGTTCTTTGTTACTTTTTGTTTTCTTTTATCTTAATTCTTTGTTTTTAAAATACTGTAAAATAATTTTACACTTGCCCTTATTATTTTAATTGTATAAATTTATGGAGTACAGGGTGATAATTATCAAATTATGTATACAGTGTTCAGTTATCAAATCAGGGAGGTTAACATTCCCATCTCTTCAACTTTTTAAATTTTTAATTAATAGGGATTAAGCACATTTATAAAGTAGTATGATATTTCAACATATGTATACTGAACAAATCAGTGTAATTAACATTTCCATCTCCTTTTCAGTTTGTGGGGGGGGGGTTGTCCTCAATATCTTAGTGTTTCACCTTGAAATTATTTATATAAACCAATTACAGTGTGAAGTTTACACCTTTAACTTTCACCTTGAAAATACAAGGGCATTACCATAGTACCTTCTTCTAGGTTTTTAATTGGTGATATACATTTGCAAATTTACAAATTGTTGCTATGGTTGTTGTTGTTGTTGGAAAAGGATCTTACTATGTTGCCCAGGATGGCTTCCAACTCCTGAGCTTAAAGGGTCCTCCAGCCTCAGCCTCCCAAAGTGCTTAGATTGCAGGTTTGGGTCACCACAACTATCTTTACATATATTTTTAAACATACATGAGTTATCTTTATGAAATTTCACAAGCTGAACACAACTCTGTATGCAGCTTCTAGACCAAAACAAAATATTGTTGAATTCTAGCCCTGAAGCATTTTTGTGAGCCTTCTCCCAGACCCTATTCCCAAAGGCAACCACTACTAAAACATCTAACAGCATAGAGCTCTTTCTTTTTTTTGCATTTGGTGTAAATGGAATCATACAAAATGAATTCTTCTGTATTTGGCTTTTATATTCCATGTGTTGTTTGTATATCTGTATTAATGTATATGATCGTGGATCATACACAAAGGAGTAAGGAGATGAAAGGATTCCAAACTTAAGTCATACAGGAGTAATGGGTTTTTTATGAGATCTATTGTCCAATATGGAGACTAGAGTTTAATAATAGTGTAATGTACATTTCAGAATTGCTAATAACAAATATTAAATTTCCTCACCATAAAAAGCATTAGTGATGGGCATGTTAACTAGCTTATTTTAATCATTCCACATTATCTACAAATATCATAACATTACTTTATTACAAGTTTGTGTCACTATAATTTGTCAATACACAATAAAACCAAAAAGGTTTTTTTAAGTATATTGTCTTGGCCCAAGAGGAATAACTTCAATTGTTCAGGTGAATTGCCATGTTTAAATATGGGAATAGAGTATTTGATGAAAAAGGTGGGTTAGGGATACCATGAAAGGAGTGATGGAGAAGACGGTAGTTGAGATGTCAGCATTCCTTCACACCAAATGCTGTATATTCCCAGCTCTTTACTTTGGGTCCAATTCAAAGCAAAAATGAGTAGAGTGACCAGAGATCAAGGGAAAACAGTTCAGCCCTGGAATCTAAGATGAAAGAGGCCCAGGAGAAAAGGTTTTCTGTTTTCTTATCCAAGAGAAATTTATCTTCTAAGGTTTAAATCCATCTGAGACCATGAATTTCTTCTTATTATTGGGGTTTTTTTGAACAGAGTCTCATGACATAGCCCAGGCTGGTCTTGAACTCCAGATCCTTCTGCCTCAGCCTCCCCAGTGCTGGAATTACAGGTGTGCACCAACATGCCTGGCAAGTCCATGAATTTATTTTTAAAACTAAAACCTTGGGAAATTCAGGAAGGAAAAAAAGAGAACCTTAAAAGGTTGAGAAACTGAGCCAGGTGTTGATGGTACACCTCTGTAATCCTAGCTACTCAGGAGGCAGAGATCAGGAGAATAGAGGTTCAAGGCCAGTCATGGCAAATAGTTGGTGATATCAAATCTCGAAAATATGCAACACACAAAAGGGCTGGCAGGTTGGCTCAAGTGGTAGAGCATCTGCCTAGCAACCGTGAGGCCCTGAAATCAAACTCTACAACTGCCAAAAAAAAAAAAAAAGGAGAAACTGATATTTGTCCTGGGTAAAACAGCACCCTTTATTGGAAACCATACTTTAAAAATTCATCATCCATGTACAGAAGTGATGTGGCAGTGTCAGAATCCACCCAGCATTGCCTTCATTATTTCCTCAGAAACAAAAAAGAAGCTATTAACTCATATTTCAAATTAAAAGTTCTTCCTCGTGTAAATAATTCTGTTGATTTTTTAAAATTTTAATATTTACTTTTATTGCTCATATGGATAACCTTGTCAAATGTTTCCGAAAAATATCAAAATTTTCATTAAGGAAAAGCTGAGCTACAATCATCTGCATTTAGGATAAAATATTCAGAAACAGAAAACAGAGTTAAGTTAAAATACATAATTAAATAGTTTTCAAGGTAAAATATTGTTCCAAGTAAGTAAATTAAAAACTATCAAAGTTGAAATTACAACTATAGTCATTACTGACTTCAGTAGAAGACACCATCTAGTATGTCTCAAAAATACTTGAAGATTAATTGATCTCAAGAAGAATGGATTGGAAGAAGAAATTAAATTCCATATAACAGAGGTGAACCTGTTCACACCGCAGGCATCCTGTTCACACTGTGTGCATTCAAACTGTATGCGTCTATGGAATTACCACAACAAAACCCCCTTGTATTATTAATGTATGCTAGTAAAAAAAGAAATTACACTGCAAAAATGAATTTACATCAATCTTAACAGGAATTTTTAATTTTTAAGACAGTACCTCAGCCCTCTTGCCCTCCAGCCCAGGGCCTGGCACCATGAAGTCCCTGGAGCGCAGCCCAGGGTGCGTCTGTGCCCCTGGTGAAATGGGGTATGGAAGTGAAAACTATGTCCTAACATAAAATTGTACCTTACAACCAGGCACAGGTTTGCATCTCACAGTCTGGTTTCTGTCACCTACCCAGACAGCTCCAACCCTTGTTTATGAAATCAGTTCTAATTATGCGGAGCCGCAGACATCGCGTGACGCGACCACCACCTCACACCGACCCCTCTCCACCCCAGGTCACTCGCAGGACGCAGCTCCACCCACGCAAAACGTTTTCAACTTTGTAAGAACGTGGTCGCTATTAATTTAACTGGCCCACGCGTCTCGAATTATCTACTTAAGATTCCCAGAGAGGCTCTAAAGCAACCAAACACGGAACTACAGCCACAGTTGGAGAGGAATATGCCCTTAAACGTTCATCCACCCACAGCAGGGAAGACACACTGCGCGCCTGCACGTCCCGCCCCCACGCCCGACATTGTTCACACTGTTGCGTGTGGACCGAGTTCCTGGCCCCGCCCCTCACCGGCCAGCTTCGCTCCAGCATCGCGTCAAGGCGCACGCGCAGCTTCCCGCAGAACCGGAAGCGGATCTCGCGGGGCCTCGGAAGTTTCTCTGGTGTCAGGTTTTCTGCCTCGAACGGGCCTATTGTGGGCGTGCAGTCCTCGTGCTCCCCAGCTGGACTTGAGAGATCAGAACCCCTGAGCCTGCTAGTCCCACTCCTGAGACGTTGCCGGGAGACGTTTCGCGTCCTGTTGCTGTGTGCGGGTCCATTTCTGATTAGAAGTGCATAGCTGACCTTTCTGCCTGCGGCCCACGTGAACACTGGTCGCTGGCTGCGCCTGTTTTCTTTATTAAAACCCTCCCTCTCATTCTAACCAAGGTACAATGTAAGACTGTTCAGAATTGTCACAACAAATCCACCTCTGTACAATGAATATATGCTAATCAAAATGAAAAAAAAAAAAAAACGAGTGGGGATGTGGCTCAAATGATAGACGCCTGCCTAGCAAGTACAAGGCCCTGAGTTCAAACCCACCCAAAAAATAAAACGACAGCGGGGTGATAGTTCAACTTGGTGACAAGGGCATATCTACATTCTAATCATTGTTGTTCATCGTTATAAGTAGGGTTTATTAATTGAATTTCAAACTATAATTTTAAAATTATATACCAAATGTTGATTTCAGTAAATCAATATTTCATTTAAGAAAATAATAAAGCCCTGCCCCTATCCAACACCTGGGTGGAAGTCCTCACTTAGAGGACTTAGTCTCCCTCCAAGGAGAACCAAGGGAATAGAACTGGAGAGAAAAGGGCAGAAGTATGTGGCATTAGAGAGCTATCAAGTTGTGGGTTGGCCAAAGAACCTTATGTGCATGTATGGAAATATCACAATGAAACCCCTTTGTAGAATTTCTGCCAATAAAAGGAAACTTAAAGGTAAGTGCAGTAGCAAAGGTTGCTGTAGTGTGGAATCAGACACCCTGTAGGAGTAACTGAGAAACAGAGAGGAAAGAAATGGAGGAAATAGTTACAAAGAGAAAAGTGCACACACCGTGATTAGAGAATGAGCAAGACCCAAAACTAGGTGAGTATTGTTGATGGATATAGAACATTTAAGTTGTGAAGTACTAATTTGTGACTCTGTAATTATTTTTAAATGTGTTTACATTATGCAGAAAAGAATGAGAACTGTGAGACCAACTGTGTGAAGCTACTGCATTTGCTTTTTTTGTCTTTTGGTGGGAGTCGGGTTTGACCTTAGGGCATTGTGCTTGCCATTTGGGCACTCTGCCACTTGAGCCACACCTCTAAGCTGCTGCATTGCAACAGAAGATAATACCGTTTGCAACTCCTGTTCAGCCAGCATCAGAGGCTTAACCCAATCACTTTCAGGTCACTCTCTGTTCTTTGCTCTTGGAACTGAAGAGTGTGAAAAAAAAATGAGGGAAGTTCTTTTCATACTTCATGGTGCTCTTTCTTGTATGATTTTATTAGCATATAATAGTTGTACAGGGGGATACATTATGAAATTTTCATATGTGATTAAAATATATCTTAGTTAGATTTACCCTCTCCATCGTTCTCCCTTTTCCCACCTCCCCGCATGATGCCCGTTTAAATGGACAGTAATTGTATCATCATCCACCCCTTTTGTGGCTCATGTTATTCTGTTTTTTTTCTCAAATATGTTTTAATTTTTAATCCCCAGTATATATTTGAATTTTAAAAGATTTTCAAATTATTTTCCCTCATACGGTTATTCTGATTTTGAGGTTTAAATGATCTCTATTGTTTATTATATTGAAACTATTCTTTGCTCTCTGGTAACTGATTTTACAGTGTTCCACTGTGCATGAGGCAAGGATGTTGATAATCTCTTAACACCCAAAACCTAGTTTAGGGACTGAATATGTAGCTCAGTGATAGCGCACTTAGCGCATGTGTGAGTCCCTGGGAAGTGGAGGAGGACACTAGTTTAACCTGTTACTTTAATATTCAGTGTCTATCTTCACCTGTGTGGTGTTTATCCAGGTTTGAGCTAAAGTCCTCAACTAAGTAGATGTTCCCTGGAAGTCCCCCTTGACCTCCTTTCTGTGTAGATATTGTGGAATTTTCTTCCTGCAGAGTCCATCTGTTCATGATGATAAAGCGATAGCCCAGAGCTAATCTCCCCAGTTGATCCATTTTTCTAGGAGTTTTCCAGGTAAAATAGCTGTTGCTGGCTTCATATTTTTAAATGTTTTTCTGGGAAAAGAAATTAACTGGTTGAGATTGATTAAGCCCATAAAATAGAAGCTGCTATTATTTAGGAAATGAAAGTAATCTGGAATAAAGAGAAACCTTTCCCACTGCACTATCCGAGCTACCTTTCCAGAATTCAGTTTTAACTGAATACTCTGACCTCTGGATCTCCTTCTCTGAGCTTAATGTATTCACCTGAAACATGGAGTAGACCAGGAATTCTTGAGTGTGATGAAATGGGATCCTTGAAATGATTTTCAAAATCAGGCTTGTTAGTGTGTGACAATTTTTTTGAGAGACATTGTTCAATTACAATTAGAATATTAAAAATCTCTCATTTCTCCAGAAATGATGGAAAACATTAGGAAAGAGGCAGGGCTATAGCTAAGAGACAAGAAAGATGCCTCTAAGCATCTCCAGGTTCTCTTTCTCTGTCTCTACATCGTGGGTAAGTTTAAATTTTGATGGTGTCATCTCCTGGCACTAAACCTTTTCATGGTTCCCCCTTGTCCTCCAGATAAACATCTGAACTCAGTATGGTTACAGCAGGGAGTTCTAGAGCTAGAATTGCTCCTCAGAGTTGGTACGAACTGAGTGAAGAGGCAGGCTTTGTATCTAGAGTTGATGAGTCATTGGATGCTGACTACCCAGGTGGAGGCCATGAACTTGGATGAAGCAGTTCCTTTGACTGAGTGCCAAGTAGACAAAGAATAGTACAGTGGATGCTGGATGTGTTTCAGTGGAAGAGGTGGAGTTTTGGAGCAATTTGTAGAAAACTGATGGACTAGTCTTATATATAAGAGTTTTATTTTATTGACTCTAAATCCCTGCTATTGCCACAAGCAGCACAAGACCATCTTTTCCCTTTATCATAGTTCACCCTGCGTGTGCCTGTGGCAGAGGAAAGAGGGTATGATGATTCAAAACATTAACCAGCAACTGTTTGACACACAGGATGATCTTGCTGGACAAACAAACCCAGAAGAAGAAAGAAAGAAGAAGGAATGGCTCTCTCCCAGGTAGAAGTCATATTCTTGGTTAATTGATCTGTCTTCTCCATAAAATGCCAAGTTTTGGACTTGCTAATCTTTTCTGACTGAAGTATCTTGATTAATACATATATTCACATCCGGGACATCTCTCAGTCCTCTCTCATCTCCACACAGAATCCATCTTACTGTAGCTTAATGACATGGGACTGGGAAGAGCCTTCATTCAGATGATGACCCTGGAGAGGGTTTTATACCCAGGAATAGATTGGAAATGAGTAGTGGTCTCTAAGGTGTCAGTGAGATTGATGGTAAGGATTGTTTGGAGACTCCATCTGGATGCCCTTGCAGCTCTCTATAAACCAGTATTAAAGAAAGTGCAAGGGCCAATGGGCATAGCTCAAGAGGAAGAGCGCTTAAGGCCCTGAGTTCAACCCCCAGTATTGTAAAAAGACGGAAAGAAAGTATATATGTAGCTGAGTGTGATAGTGTACAGCTGTAATCTTAGCACTTAGGAGACTAAGCCAGGAGGATCACAAGTTCGAGGCTGGCCTGGTCTACATAACAAGACTCTATCTCAAAAAAAAACAAAGAAACTTCATATGAAACTGGTTTAATTAATGGGCACAAATCCCTGAAAAATTAGAAATAATGACTGATGAGGGAAATTTGCTTTGCTTGATTGTATAATGCATTTAAAGCTAAACAATTGAATTGGTGTATTTTCTGTTCCAAATCATTTATAATTTATAATGGAAAGTTGAGAAATAGACCTTAGGATTAGAAGGTGGTTTATTTTCATGATTGGTTTTAAAAATAATGGAATCAACCTGATTTTGTAACCTGATTGTTAGAGGTTCTTTAAATTATTCCAAGCACATCCATCTTGCAAAGACCCTGTTGATTTAGAAGCTGCAGTATTTAGATGAAAGTGGTCATAATTGAACCAAGATACAGGAGCAAATCTGTCATCCAAGAAGTGGAGCCAAATTTAATTATGCTTCTTGTTGTTAAACATTACATTTCTGTATTAAACATTAGAGATGTTTCTGTTGTGTTGGTGTGATTTGGTAAAACTCCACACAGCAGTGCAGCTTACAGGACTAAGAAGTGAAACATCCTCCTCCCATCACAGTGTCCACTATCCCTCACTGCCTCCATCAGGGACTTCTGTTCTCTTCAGTGCAGGTCTTATAAAAAGTATAAGTATTCCTTATCTGAAATCTTGAGACCAGAAGTGTTTGGGATTTTGGCCTTTTTTTTTTGGGATTTTGAAATACTGGCAAGTGCATAATGAGAGGTTCATTCCCATTTTTGAGAATGGGATCCAAATCTAAACACAAAAGTGACTCATGTTTCATATATGAAACATACTGCATAATGTTGTGCAGTATTTTTAGTGTACCTGCATTTTGGCTGTGCCCCATCCCCTGAGGTCAGGTGTGGAACTTTCCAATTGTGGCATTATGTCAACTCTTTTTGGAGAATGTCAAATTTTCATGTTAGGGATGCTTGTCTTGTATCACAATGTGATTTTAGAATATAATTCTTTAGTAAGTAATATTGCTGTAATATTTAAATTTTAATATTTATGTACCATGTGTCTTGGATTTTTTTCATATTAATAAAAATAGAGATAAGTTTCTAGATCCTCATTGGAGCTTTATCTTAGTGAAGGCACATGTGCCTTTCATACTTTTTTGGTGTTAATGAAGAATTACATTGCCTACCTGTGAGCAGGCTGACTACACTACAGAGGTCTGAAATTTTCTACACAGTAAGCAACTTGCAGCATGGTTACTGCTTTAATGATGGTGTTTCTGAGTAAGCACAGACTTTGAACTTAGTAGAAAAGACTTTAAATCTATGCCTTAAACATGCTCAGACAGCTAAAGGAAAATAGGACAACACTGCTTCAACAAATAAAGGCTATCAATAAAAAATTATTTTAAAAAGGAAGGAATATGAATTTCTGAAATGAAAAATTCATTATAACAACAACAGATTGACAGAATAAAGAATAAGCAAACT